TTTGAAAACATTGGTTTAGTCTTGTCAGCATTGAGGACCAATTTTAACTGCGGAAGTGTTTGTTGGACCTCATTAAAAGCTTTCTGTAAGAATTCAACAGCTTTAGTGGGGGATGTTGCAAAATAGTAAATGATTGTGTCATCAGCGTAAAAGTGCTAATTGGCATCCGGCACATTTTGTCCTATGTCACTGATATACATAATGATCAAGAGGGGCCCCAAGACTGAACCCTGTAGTACTCCCTTGTGGACACTCAAAAATTCAGAGGACAACCCATCACATTTAATGCATTGAGTTCTGTCCTTCAAGTAGTCTGTGAACCACAAGGTTGCATGTTCAGACAATCCCAAACAACGACATTTCCCACATTTCTGTGGATTATTTAGGTTCTCAGTTGTGACAGATAAGTATTAGTCTGGTTTGGCCTTTTTGATGAAAGTTGTACATTTATTTCTTAGTAGTCTAAAGATAGCCCAATCAACCAAAACCCTTTTCTGGCTTTGGCCCATGCCACATTTGACTGCTCGTGGGAGAACCAGGGATTTTCTCGTCCTTTGATTCTGTTTCCTGAAGGAGCATGCTTATTTACAATTTCCATGAAAGTCTCCTTGAAGAATCTGCATGCTAGCTCGACATCTGGCAACAGATCTATTTGACTCCAGTTAGCCAAAGACAAATCCTTATGAAAAGCTTGTTCACTGAATTGTTTACAATTTCTGTTGTAAATGATGTGATTTGGATTTAGGCATTTTAGTGCTCCTGCAAGTGGCAACAACACAATGACCGCTCAAGTCGTTGCAGAAAATGTCTAACCATGAGAATTTATGAGGGACATTTGTTAAAATTAAGTCAATCAAGGTGGACTTATCAGGACTCTTAAGATTGGGTCATGTGGGTTAGTTGACCAACTGGCAGAGATTTATGGAGTCACAGAAGCTTTTGAATTAATCTGAAACTGCATTTTGCAAGTCCCACTTGAAATCACCAGCCAACACAAGTTTACTATGATTTAATTTGGACAAGAGATGCCTTAAGGATGATAATGTTTCCTTGGAAGCCGATGGAGGTCTGGAGCACCGGCAACAGTTATAGAAAGTGATTTGGCAATTTCCACATTTAACCCTCTCAGGCTCAAAGTAAGTTTTGATGAAAGGACGAACAACTAAGTCCTTCAATATTCATCAAGAAAACACAACATAGTCCCAAGTCCAAAACAACCAGAAAAAACAATGAGGCAATGTAAAACATTATAATTTTCTTCTTGCAAAGCACAAGGTCAGCAGAATAATGTTTTTAAGAAACAAATGCACAGGAGTTAGGTTCTGGAAGGTGTTGAAGGCTCTGTCAGACTCTGGGGGAGCACCAGGGCCACGCTACGTTTAGGAGCCTTAAACTGAGCAGAAACGCAAGCATGGTCTTCTCTCACAATTTTCTGTTTAACTAATGACGTGGATTTCCTTATTCCCACTTGTGTGATTTTGATGTTATCACTTGTAAAAATAAAGGTGGTGCTGTAATCTCTAGGCGTGTCGCTGCTGCCTGTTCTGTGATTAAACAACTAACAACTAATGAATACGTGTGTGTTTGAGGAAAACTAATACCTGAACGTTTTTTATGCTGCACAGGTGTAGCGTTATATGTGTGTCTAATTACCCACACACACACAGTGCAGCGGCATTAATAATTGACTAAAGCATAATAAACCCAGTGAGCCTTGTGTGTGCTCTTCGGAGTGTTCAGTAACTTAACTACTTGGTGAGGATGATAGATCCTGTTCACAGTGATCGCTGTTACATTACCCAGCTGTTACACACCGTGGTAACATTTAAAGGAATACTCTGTCACTTTTTCATATTTTTAATCATTTTCTTGAGCGAGTATGTGCTAAAATGACCCTTTACAGGATTAATGAAAAGTCACTCAGACCCCCACCGCCCCCCGTGGCCAGAATATCGCACTTGCAAAATCAGACTGGCAGGCCCCCACCTGTGGACTTCCATGAACACAGCTGATTTGTTTAATTTAGTGATTAACCGATCTTGTCGAAACTAATGAAGGCTGAGGAGACATTTCAGCTGTTAGATTATTGTGTTACAAAGACGAACGCACAGCGATAAGTTTCATTTTCTATTCTACTAAATGAACACTAGGGGGTGCTCAAAGCATGCCAAAACTGCCAAGCGTGCCTTTGATGTTGGATGTTTTCTGCATAATTGAAGGTGAGGTAAGAGATGCTCTTATGGAGCAGTATTTGTTTTTCACACACTGATGACATCTAATTAATGTAGTGTAACATTATTTTTGGATATCAACAACTGACAGCAGGTGCTTGCTCTAATGTCCACTTTTCTTTCCAAAGACATCCTGCTACCCGGTTGCACCTAATTACCAAATATACACGCATGCGCACACAGACGCAAATTCAAGTGATAATGTAAATGAAAGCTCTGATATTAAAATTTGTTTAGCTAACGTGGCCCCAGAAGATTAAATGCTCTATGTGGGTCTAAAGGGAGACAGACTTCAGCTTGAGCATCTCTTTCCTGCTTGGTCCAAGCTAGTGCCTGACAGGTATTCATATAATATAGTTGAATTTTTATTTATTTTTAAACTGAGGACATAATGGCATCCACATATTTGTATGAATAAAACTTAATGTACACAATAATTTGTTACCATCCTTGCACCTCTGGTGGGGAACACCCCACACCACATCAAGAACTTCACCGACTTCACTGACAAGGTCCAGAAACTTACCCTGGATCCAGATGAAACCATGGTGTCCTTTGACGTAGTCTCCCTCTTCACTTGCATACCCACTACGGAGGCAGTGGAGACTGTCAGAAAGCGACTGCAAGAAGACAGCACCTTGGAGGACAGGACCAACTTCACACCCGACCAGATTTGCACACTGTTAGACCTCTGCCTCACCACTACATATTTCAAATACAACAAAGGTTTCTACAGACAAAAACATGGCTGCGCCATGGGCTCCCCCGTGTCACCTAATGTAGCCAACCTTTACACGGAGGAAGTGGAAAGAAAGGCTCTTGGCTCTTTTAAAGGGAGAGCACCCAGCCACTGGTACAGATATGTGGATGACACCTGGGTCAAAATCAAAACACGACAAGTGGAATCCTTCACTACACACATCAACGCCGTGGACAAAAACATCAAGTTCACCAGGGAAAACATAAAGGACAACTGCTTGCCTTTCCTGGACTGCGCTGTGCACTTTGAAGAAAATGGCAACCTCAACATTGAAGTGTACAGGAAGCCCACACACACGGACCAGTACCTCCTCTTCGACTCACATCAGGAACACAAACTTGGAGTAATCAAGACCCTACACCACCGGGCAGAACATGTTCCCTCTAAGCCGGAAGGGAAAAAGAAGGAACACACACATATAAAGGAATCACTTAGAACATGTGGCTATCCTAATTGGGCGTTTATAAAGTCAGCAAAGATGCACAGAAAAGAAGACCAGACACCAGCTAGGGAGGATAAGGAAGACAGACGCAACAACCTTGTCATCCCCTATGTAGCCGGTGTATCAGAGAAACTCAGGAGGGTTTTCTCCAAACACAACATACCAGTGTACTTCAGACCCAGCAACACACTCAGACAGAAACTGGTTCACCCGAAAGACAAAACTCCTAAACACAAACTGAACAATGTGGTGTATGCTGTACAGTGCAGCGAGGAATGACCAGACCTCTACATCGGAGAAACCAAACAGCCACTTCACAAGCGCATGGCACAACATAGAAGAGCCACCTCCACGGGACAGGACTCAGCAGTTCATTTGCATCTAAAGGACAAAGGTCACTGTTTCAAGGATGCCAACGTTCACATGTTAGACAGAGAGGACAGATGGTTTGAAAGAGGAGTAAAGGAAGCCATTTATGTCCACTGTGAGCAACTGTCTTTGAACAGAGGCGGTGGTTTACGACACCAACTGTCTACCATCTATAATCCAGTTTTGAGATCCCTTCCCAGATGCCTCAACGCTCACGCATATCCTGGGCCATCTGACCTCAGGAATTCACATGATAGGGTGGGGCCAGGCTTCACAATGAGCTCAACCGAAACTCTGCCTGAATAGGACGCACACCCACCCTCACACCTTGGCTCATGTGTTTATGTAGAAGATCATCAGGGGGTCTTTTGTTCCCTCTTCAGGGGGAACCTCCCACTGGGTTTGAATCTGGGACTCTCCACCATTTGACCTTAAGCCGGGCGTACACTGTGCGACTTTTTCACTCGCAGCGTTCAGCTTCAGCTCAAACTGTACGACTTCCTCGCAGAGCAGATCTCACGAGTCGTGTGCTCACACTGTACGACCCAGTTCTCGCATGCGACCTGACTGCTCACACTGTACGTCTGGTAGCAACACGTCGGCCCTAAAAATGTGCTAAAAATAGCAGTTTTTACTCAACACGTCAGACTTTTTTGTCTTGCCTGTTGTCCTTCGGAAGTGCTGCAGGAGGACACACAGGGATTTATGGGGGTTGGATGAGGAAAACGAAATAAAGAAAGTGAATCTGTGTTTTGTGATCAGTTTAATTTGACATGAACACGACAAACACGCTTTCTTGACAATCTTTGTGAGTAAAAAAACGTGTAGAAACAAAAACGAACAGCGTGTGTTATTAGGGAAATAGCGAGCGACAGGCCGGCGTTGATGCAGGATTGCGCGCGCATGCGCCGTGAGCGGTTCTGATACTTTTTGGATCGTAGCTGCTCGCAGCTGCTCGCAGCGCCGCTTCAACAGTGCGATACCCTCACGAGGGACGAGCGAAATATTAAACACACCAGAAGTCCCTGCGACCTCACGACTGCTGATCGGCGGCTGGTCACGTGGTGTTAATCGCCTCTCGTAACCCCCTGTACACTACACGACCGCTCGGCGCAAAACTCGCCCCGATGTCGTGGCTTCTCGCACGACTGGAAAATCGGCTCAAAAAAGTGAAAAAGTCGCACAGTGTACGCCCGGCTTTAGAACTGAAGAAGCCTCTCGGATGAGAGGTGAAAGGTTTTCAAGCAACTCAAAGAAGTCCAGATGCTTTTCTTTCAAAGCTCCTTAGACCAGCAACCCTACAGTTTCTTTCAAAACACCACTGTAAGAAGTTTCTGAAGGGATCATTCATTTGGACAGCAGCAGCTCAGGAGGTAGAGCAGGTTTGTCCAGTAATTGTAAGGTTGCAGGTTCGATACCAGCTCCAACCAGAGAATGCTGCTGTAGTGTCCTTGAGCAAGACACTTAACCTGCTTGCCTGCTGGTGGTGATCTGAGGGACCCGTGGTGCCAGACCTAGAGCCGAGTCAACAGCGGCAGATCTTTGACCACGGGGGAACAGCGAAGCCCGATGTACTCGGCCAGCTCACCTAGTTTGGATTTTGTTACTAAGCAGGCCAGAGGCGCCTTCACTTTGGAGTCACCTTACCACATTTTTCTTGCTAAAAAAGCCCAGAAAGCTCCGTTAGCTTCATGTTAGCGTATAGCTAACGTCCCGCTGGTTTCCGACCGTGGAGCATGAGCTGATGTGTAAAAGGCCATGGCGTCCAGCCACAATCGCAGCAGTCTGAGGCTCTGTAATGTAACAGTCCCAGTCCATATTGGATCTCCACAGGAGACCAGCATACTGCCTCGCACGGAGGGTCAGTCAGCTGTGAGGGTGGGCTACCCCAGTCCCTGAGGCTCCTTCTTAGCTTCATGGGTTAGCTAAGTTAACTAGTAGCTACATGGATTCATTTGTTCCAACTGTAACAGCCCCACCCTCAGCTTCACCTCTTTTCCCATTTTTGGATTGTCTGGGCGTGACGAGACGTGTGACACGGTCAAAATAGCGGTGATGAGAACTTCCCATCTGGAAACAAAAATGAGTCATTTGAGCCTATGGACATTAAATGTCCAGTATATATGTCCATGCTCGTCACCCGTTACCTTCAGAGTTCATTTTAGAATCCAAACTGTAACGTTCAGGGTTCTACATAGTCCAGCTCCTCCCTATATCACTGAACTGTTAAAGCCAGGTCCACAAACCAGAACCTTCTAGAAGCCCCAAAGACCAGATATAAAAGTTGAGGTGATCACTCTTTCTAGGCTGTTGCAGCCCGACTCTGGAATGATCTTATTGTAGTATCGACAGTTTGGTCGCTTTAAAAAACAGCAGAAGACCCTTTTATTTAAATCTACTTTAACTAACTGTACTGTGATCCCCTTTTCATCTAAATGTAATGAGTGCTGTTCATGGCTGCTCTCGAGGTCTGCCTGTATCTGTTTTGTCTACGTGTGTGTGTAAGAAGAAGAAAATATCATTTCTATAGCGCCTCTCAAGATAAAATCACAAGGCGCTTCACAAAAGCAAAAAAATGTAAAAATATTAAAAAGCATTTAGAAAATGTTGAAAAATATATTTAAAAAGAGCAAAAATAGGAAATTGTGATTAGAAAATGTTAAGAAAGAGAGAAAGTGAACAGGAAAGAGGGAAATCAGTGGATCCTGAGGAAGGTGGAATAGGTGGGGAGAGCAGAATAAAGAGAGAGGGGTGATGAAGGTCACACAAAAGCCAGCTTGAACAAGTGAGCCTTCAACTGCCTTTTAAAGGAGACCGCTGAGTCCACTGATCTCAGGCTCAGGGGGAGAGAGTTCCAGAGTCTGGGGGCCACAGCAGCAAATGATCTGTCACCTTTGGTCTTTAGCCTGGTGCTGCACAACCAGTAGGCTTTGATCACTGGACCTCAGGGACCTGCTGGGGGTGTAGGGACTAAGAAGATCACCAATGTAAGATGGTGCTTGTCCATGTAAGGCCCTATAGAGCTCCGAACCCCACGTGACTCTCAGTTAGTAGACGCCATATTGGCAGGTAAAAGAAGCTAAACAAACACGGATCTTAACCATGAACGTGAACGGGATCAGCTTGGATTTTACTTCGTCGGAGTTTACTTCACACTTTAAAACCGAAGAAATTGTTTTATATAGTCAGAAATTAAATAGACTAAACATCTCCGACCCTTACCGTGCCCCTGGGATACTTTTTAAAAATGCCAGAAGCTGTCGGAGCGGACTTCTTACTGGACCTGGCCGGGGAACCCCTTGGGATTCCCCCGGAGGAGCTGGCTCAGGTGGCTGGGGAGAGGGAAGTCTGGGACTCTCGACGCTACTGCCCCCGCAACCCGACTCCGGATACGCGGATGAAAATGGATGGATGGATGGACAAATAACAGATTTACATGAAAGTAGTTTAAATAGAGTGCTGTGCTGTTTGAATGTATAAACTGAACACCAAGAGAAATCACTAGTTTGATTTTTTTTTCCGTGAATAAAATAAATATGTCAGGCAGGAGCGTCTCAGGATCTGTCTGAGAGCTGTCTCGGTGATACAGATAATAGCAATCCAAAGTGCTTTTTATGTGTGATCTGACAATTGATCAACCATTGCTTAAAAATTAAATACAGCTTAGCCGGTTAATTGCTGTGATCATAAAACACGTAAACGGCAGCACGCAGAACTCACGAGGCAACGTTTGACGTGATGTTTACTTGTTGCTATGAGTAATAAGACAGAAAAAGCCACGCCGAAATAAGTTTAGGAAGCCCACTAAGAATCGTAATAAAAGCATTTAAAATAAATACCACACACAGTTGAGGAAACGTTGGTTTAAGTACCTGATATGAAGTGGTCGCTGCATAAGCGAAAACCTTTACTCTCGGGATCCCACAGCTTCATTTTCGCCCGGTCACTAGCGCGTTTCATTACAATGATCCAACGTTTGCGGCGCTCCGGATCTTGGGGAATCCTGTAGATGGCTCATTCCTTATGTCGTCCGTGTCTGTTCTGCATCCTGGGGCACAACAGGAATCTACCATATTTCCCGTTTGATTGAGTTTTTTGACAATAACAAATAGTCCAGCTGCCGGCTTCTACCTGCCAATATGGCGCCGTTTCGATTTGAACTGTTGCATGCCGGGAGAAGTGATGTCAACTCCCGGAGCTCTATAGACCAGAACCAGGATCTTGAAATGAACCCTGAAGTTGACTGTAACCTTGGTCAGGCTGTGCTGCGGAGTCAAATTCCTATGCTTCGGGGCGCTGGAGCAATGGCAATAAAGCTGTTCTGATTCTGAACTAAATCTTTAGTTTTCTTATTTTGAACTCAAATTTCTAATCATCTTTCATTTGTTTTATTTTTCATAATTTTGTGACTTTGTTTAGCTGATTTTATTTTATTTCTGATTTAAGATCATTATGATTTATGACTTTATTTTTTTTATCTATGTGAAGTGCTTTGTGATTCTCTGTGATGTGTGCTATATAAATAAAACAATAATTTGTAATTTGTAATTACTTACTTTCAAGTAGTCGAGATGTTCTCTGCTGTTTCCTGGATGCTAAACCAACAACAGCCTTCTCCATCACGAATCAAGATGGGCGAGTCCCCGATTGTTTGACAGTTTGACGAAGATCTGTCAGGATTTTCTGAACTGAGTGTTTTCCTATTTTCTATCAGAAGCTAATGCAGGAGATAGGTGTAGGAGACTATTTTCATGTTCAGCCTGCATGAGAACCTCAGAGGGACTGTTTGTTTTCAAATTTTAAGTAAAAAACAGTTTCTCAGTGAACCCGCTCTTTAATTTTGTTAAATATCCCCCACGGGCTATTGGAATGAACGGTCACAAGAAGAATACATTAAAACAAGATCAGCATTTTTTTCTCATATTTATTCATCTGTAGTCAAATTGTTTTTTAAATAATGTCAAATTTTAACAATTACAACTTTTCAAGAGCAAAATGAATCTTGTAAATTAACTTTGAGCCCAGTTCACATGGCAGGATAATCATGAGTAGCTTCACCGCTTCCGACAATCCCAACCCCGGTTGCTCCAGAAGAGCAGCGGTGTGTTATTCATGGCTTCATTCCTGGCAGTGGAAAAAAACATCACATCAAATGTGATTTCCTTCTTTTTGGTTTTATGGCAGATTGCATAAACAAACCGTGACCTGAAGTGTGATCTCGCGAGTCCAGCGAAGAGCACAGCGAGGAAGACGTGCCGCTGCCAAGACTCTCCCGGTGTGAAAAGGACCGCTTTGAAGTTCGCATGTAAACTGTTTTGCTGCCGTTTCGCGCCGCTGGTGTTTCCAGTATGAAACTGGGGTTAGGGTTTGTGGCTGATTTCTGTAATGGCTCTAAAGATAATCTTATCAGATAATCCTGCTGTGTGTGGTGTTTTAAGAGTAGTCTGGTCAGCTCAGAATGACGTCGGGACCCCTCCAATCATAAATTCGACTGTAGAAACTTGTTGGATTGTCTTGGTCTGATTTTCAGGGACGAACAAGTGTGATGCCAGTTGAATGAAACGTTCAGCCATCAGAAAACAATGTGATGGAAGCACACTGCATGCTCCCTCCACCATGATAGTTTACTTCAAACTTGTGTTCATTCTCATGAGAATTTCTGTTTGTTTGATTCATGAGTAGTCTTTGTCATGTTATTGCACACCATACACGCTGGTAAATGTGGTATAAAGATGTTTTAGCACCTCGTGGGGTCTCTTTGAAAATTATCGACTATTAAAAAATCCTGCCATGAGAACCAGGCTTTAGTTGCTGCATGTAATTATAGCGTTTCAAGGGTCCTTCTCTTCTGTGTTAAAACATTATTTTTGCCCATTTGTTACAAAATCCTTTTGAACCAAACAGAGCAGAACAAGTTTTTCGAGAAAAGCTTAAAACAGGAATTAAACCTACTGACCGAATGAGAAGAGCTCTATGATGATGCATTTTTTTCTTTAACTATTGCATAACAGAAAATGATTGTGACTCTGCAAATGATTTCACATGGGCTGTTTCGATTTGACGATAAGTGTCATTGCATGGCTCAGCTGGTGCGACAAAACGACTGTTTCACTAAATTATAAAGCAAGATATAGCAGCACATTTCTTTTTCCAAGGTCACTGCAGATTCAGCTAACTTTACCACAAGTCAAAGCTGTCCGTGACTGAAATAACTTCCTTTTTTCCTCCAGTTTCTCCTCAAGACATTGAATTAGAATGGGATCAACTTTGGGATCAAACTTATTGGCAAACCAGTGGCCATAGCTGAGTAACCACCGCATTTCTGCTGCACCAAAGATACAAACGCTGCGAACGTGCTGTCCGGTGCACGGTGGGTAAAGGTTCTCCTCCAGGTATTGCCACTTCACCAGCCTGGTCTTGCTCATCAGGTCTGTGATATCTGGCTGGGATCTGGGAACCTCTCCGGGAACGCCCGGCACTCTCACGAGCGTGGCCCAGAAGTGCTCGTCCGGAGAGTAGGTGTCCTCCGACCAGGCCAGGAAATCCTTCACCACAGTCGAGGAGTTCATGTGCACAATGAAGTCCCGCGACAGCACAAAGTAGGCGTTGCCTATGAACATCTCTATCCCATGTGGTGGCGGGGTCTTTTCCTGCTGAGTTTTCACTGGCAGTTTTCCATATTCAAAGCTTATGTCTTTAAGCTCATGGTGGAACATGAACCTCTGCTTCTTAAGGCTAGACGGTCGGCTTGTCTCCAACATGTTGGCGCCCATCAGCTTCCTCAGCTCAGACACTAGCTCGATGTTGGATTTGAGCGGGAAATCCTGCCCACACAGGTTAATGACATACTTCCACCTGACTTGTGAATTCAACAGGTCCGACAGGCAGTTGAGATCAGCTTTTAGTCGGCTGATGCTTGCGTAGAAGACTTCCTCGTGCTTGCTGGAGATGAAGACGTTAGGCAGACAGCGGGCCAGGCCCTTCATAGCAGTAACAAACTGAGCTGAGGACTTCTGATCATAATGGACACAGTAAATGTTGTTGGGAGAGTACGCTGCCCTGATTAGTCTCTCCACCATCCACGCATTTTTATGAACAACCAGAGAGTAAGCAAGAGGGAAGTCCTTCTCCTCCTCGGAAATACACACGTCATCATAGCCTCTGGTCTCGATGAAGAGGGAGCAATCGTCCATGAGGTCAATCAGACTTCCATCTTCAGCCTCCACCTTGTTCCTCCTGATGACCAGGGACTTGCCCACTTCCACTGGGTCCATGTCATAAATAGATGAGCAGTTAATGTTGTGTTTGAGAAACGACTGATTCCCCAGAGGAAGCAGGACATCTGAGGATCCGGGGACCTGGTTGTACTTCACTCTGACCAGCAGCAGGACACTCAACGTCAGCAGCAGCGACACGATCGAGGGAACGAGCTGCTTCCTCTTCAGCCTCACAATCCAACGCTTTATATTCATCCTGTAGAAAAACAATTTAAAACATTCAGATAGGAAGAATGACACAAAAATTTGATCTTTTTTTTATTATCATGAATTGAATGTCAGCGACGTGCTCCACATTTATACGCTCCTGTCAGAGGTCCCTGGGCTTTTGGTAGCTAAGGAGACAGTTGCTGCAGTTTCAATAGAAACATGTTTCCCCATCAACCTTTCACACATTTCAGCCCTTTGTCTTTTTTTTTTTTGTTTGTTTGTTTTTATTGTTTTCATGAAGCAAATATTTTCTCCAGGTCAGGGTCGCTGTGCAGTCTGTGTAGCTCTTAGACTTGTTAGTTGTTATGAAGTGTTTCCTGACCAGGAAAGGAGACTTTATTCAGCATTAAAGAGAAAATCCTGTATTTATCAACAGAATCCGAGTCAGAGGACTCCAAAGCGCTTTACACTACAGTGTATCATTCACCCATTCACACACACACACTCACACGCTGGTGGGGATTAGCTATGGTGTAACCACAGCTGCCCTGGGGTTAGGAACAAAGGCGAGGCCACCGAGCACAGGCGTAGGAGACTACTTTCACATTTAGCCTGCACGTTAAACTCAGAGTGACTGATCGTTTTCAATAAGAAGTAAAAAATGGTTTCTCAGTGAGCCTGGCCTTTAAAAAGTACAGTAATGCTTATCATGTTAATAAAATAAATATTTAGAATTGAAAATTAAATCATTTTGAATGTTGTAAAGTTAAAGGAACCTGCCAAGCAAAGACTGGGGTGGGTAGGTCCCCTCTCTAACGTCTCACCATTAGCTTGACGGTACGACTGGGGGAGTCCGTGCGACCTAGGATCATTTATTCATGTTCCTGTCTAGGCTCTCTCTGGAAATGGACTTACCGTGAAAAGGACACGTTAGACAGAAGATATCTTAACCTTGTTTGTTATTGAGTGTTTTGTTACAGCTTTAGTTTTACAAACACGCTCAGTTTGCACTTTATCTACATGTTTAAATTTTGTTACTATTGAGTTTTGAACACTTATATTTTTTTATTTCAATCCAAAAATTTAGATTAAATCTTTTGTTTATCCACTTTGCCAACACGTTACCTAGTATGCGTATGACTGGCCTGTGGGGAAAAAAACGGGAGTACCCGGGAAAACCCACACATGCTACCTCCACGCAGAGAGGCTGTTGAAGGGATTTGAACCACCAACCTTGTTGCTGCAAGGCTACCATCTACATTTTGATAAATAATCTTTTTTATAATTACTTTTAGTAGTTAAAGGTAGGATAACATTGCTTTCCTTTTTTATTGTATTATATTATAATCTGCAGGCCACAGTGGGCAGAGCTAATGATCACCAATATTCAGTTTCAGTGTTGTTTCCATCACGTTTTCTCTGAATCCTCCTACCCTTTGTAACGGAATTAAATGACTGTTTCCCCCTCTCCTCTGACACAGGACTAGTCAGCATGAGATATGGCCTCAAGGTCTCATGCATTTGCTTCTAACTGTCACGGTGTAGGAGGTGGAGATGATGGACCATGTGTGGATGAGCTGAGCAGGAGGAAAAATGCAGGCTTCAGTAAAAGTAAAAAATGGTTTAATGGCAGGATGGGATGAACAGGAACACCAGCAGACAACAACAACAATGAACTGACACAGGACAGGGGCAAACAGGTGGTTTAAATACAGAGGGCTAATCAGGGAAACATGGGCAGGTAAACGAGGGACAGGTGAGAACAATAAAGGCAATCACGACAGGAGAGGAACACAGTCATGTTGGGCAGGGGCAGATCGTGACAGTACCCCCCCCCCCCCCCTTAAGGGCGGAGACCAGACGCCCACAAGGCTATACAACAGGAGACAGGGACTTGAAGACTGGACATGACAGGAACAGGGACTGGAACAGGGACATGACAGGAACAGGGACTGGAACAGGGACATGACAGGAACAGGGACATGACTGGAACATGACTGGAACCTGGACATGACTGGAACATGACTGGAACCTGGACATGACTGGAACATGACTGGAACCTGGACATGACTGGAACATGACTGGAACAGGGACCTGGACATGACTGGAACAGGGACCTGGACATGACTGGAACAGGGACCTGGACATGACTGGAACAGGGACCTGGACATGACTGGAACAGGGACCTGGACATGACTGGAACAGGGACCTGGACATGGGTGTAGGAGGTGGAGATGATGGACCATGTGTGGATGAGCTGAGCAGGAGGAAAAATGCAGGCTTCAGTAAAAGTAAAAAATGGTTTAATGGCAGGATGGGATGAACAGGAACACCAGCAGACAACAACAACAATGAACTGACACAGGACAGGGGCAAACAGGTGGTTTAAATACAGAGGGCTAATCAGGGAAACATGGGCAGGTAAACGAGGGACAGGTGAGAACAATAAAGGCAATCACGACAGGAGAGGAACACAGTCATGTTGGGCAGGGGCAGATCGTGACACTAACCTGCTTCTTTTCAGCTCAACAGAAGAATGAAGAATGGACTCTTTTCTTTTAATTAATCAAAGAACTCTATTTTAATAAAGCTAATCAAGCAAAGTGTTAGTCAATAAATAAGATGTAACCAATCTGTGAAATCAAAATATTAATTACTTTATTATAATCCTATAGAATATAAAGGTACTATGACTTTAAATGTTCCAATAGGACTGATCTCATGTAGCGTTAAAAGACATGACACATTGCTTTCACTGATCCAATCAGAATCTGCCAAATCTGACGGAGGCGTGGTTTTGATGGTGTTTGGTAAATCTGTCAACTTTTCATTCGACCATAAACCATAACATCCAAAGTATAAAACTATGCCCACGTCATCTTTAACGCCTGTTGAAAGCGTTCTAGAGAAGTTGTCGGAGTGACCAATCCGTAACTCTCCTCTTCAACCGAAAGAACCAACGACAAGCTGGAAAATTTTTTTGCTGTTCCAACTGCTGCGACGATTCCTTTCAGAATAAAAGCTGAACCATCAAGACCCAGGTGGGTCTCACCAGACACCAACAAAATTGTTGTGACCCGGGAGTATGTCAAGACGGGTGGTCGGCTGCCGTGGCTTCTTCTACGGGCTCCGGCTCCATAAAGGTCAAGCTGGACCTCAACATTCTTGCTCTAACGGGAACTTCCGCTCAGGGTATGTAGGCCGACAAATGGTGTCGAATGTGTTTATGAATCTCCTAACTAAATCTTAACGCGAAGACATCACCTTCAGTTCCCATCAGAACTAATCGCGTCTTCGGATTTGCTGGTTCTGAGCAACATTACACCTCACCCCATTCACCGTCTCATCCACCTTAGTTACACCATACATTTAGTGTTTAAGTTAGTCTAGTTTAATTTGTTAGTAATACATTTTTAAACTTTTAAACTTGACTCTCTCTCTTCTGTTGTCTCTGAGTGAATACGAAGCTGTTATCTAATCCCTGCATTAAAAAGTTCCAATCTTCTGGTTTAAAATAACCTCACAGATCCATAAGGTTGATTTCATATTTCCTATGGAATCCTACGCCTTATGGTTTATTAAATAACATGTAATTTAATTCATTACACCTTTGAAAACAAACTGAAGGGACACAAGGTTTATTACCTTCTCCTTGTCGGCCTACGCTGTTGAGATTTATCTGGGACCAAACAGCCTTTAGATTTAAAGTCAAGCTGGTGAGTTTTCCTCCCTGATCCCGCTCTGCTTTTCCCTGGTGGGTTTTGAGCTGCAGCATGAAGCCATTTTAGTTTGTCTTCCTCAGCAGAGAGGCATGAGGAAGTATGCCTCAGCCACTTGCACTGAACATAAATCAATGTTAGTTACACTTTAATATAAACCGTATGAAAGTGTAACGTTTATCATTAATGCTTCAGGACTGAACGGTTGGAAAAGTAGGAGATTGCATCATCATCTCGCTCCTCAGTGGGAACAGATCAGCTGTATTTACTCCAGCTCCTGTTTTGCTTTGGAGATTAAACCTCAGATTATTGAGACCAAAAGGGGAAAATAAAAAGAACGCTCACCTCAACACAAAAAGATAACATTTATTTGAAGTTCTGCCAGACTTTTATGAATTATTTTTGCACTATAGTTTTCTGCTTCTTGCATAAAAAAGGAGAAGGCTGAGTAATGAGCCTGTGGTACTTCCGTTCCTGAGCTCATTAGGCAGCTGGTGCAACAGTAACTAAAAATCAGGGGCAGCCATGGGTTGACATGGGCTGGGGCTCTCCAGGACACTCCCAGCTTTGAACTGGATTTTTTGCAGAAACCCTCAGTTCGGGTTCGGCCGAAGAACACGTCGGCTTTCTGCTATTCTGAATCACGACTGTGGCCGAGGAACCAAGAGCCCGTCTTGTAATCAAAGGGTTGTGTCCCGTTTGGTCTGCTACTGCCTGCTGGTGGTAGTCGGATGGACTGATGCGGCTGTGACTACGATGTAGCTCATCACCACCGGCGCGTGAATGTGTGTGCGTGGGTGAATGATTATGTAACGGAATGAAATGACTGTTTCCCCTCTCCTCTGACACAGGAATAGTCTGCATGAGATATGGCCTCAAGGTCTCATGCATTTGCTTCTAACCTGCTTCTTTTCAGCTCAAAAGAATGAAGAATGGACTCTTTCCTTTTAATTAATCAAAGAACTCTATTTTAATAAAGCTAATCAAGCAAAGTGTTAGTCAACAAATAAGATGTGACCAATCTGTAAAATCAAAATATTAATTACTTTATTATAATCCTATAGAATATAAAAGTAATATGACTTTAAATGTTCCAACAGAACTGATCTCACGTAGCGTTGAAAGACATGACACATTACTTTCACTGATCCAATCAGAATCTGCCAGATCTGACGGAGGTGTGGTTTTGATGGTGTTTGGTAAATCTGTCATCTTTTCATTTGAGCTTAAACCAAAACATCCGAAGTATAAAACTATGCCCACGTCATCTTTAACGCCAGTTCAAAGTGTTCTAGAGAAGTTGTCGGAGTGGCCAATCCGTAACTCTCCTCTTCAGCCAAAAGAACCAACGACAAGCTGGATAAAGTCTGTTGCATTTTACAAACAAGCAATGGTTCCTTTCAGAATAAAAGCTGAACCATCAAGACCCAGGCGGGTCTCACCAGACACCAACAAAATTGTCGTGACCCGGAAGTATCTCAAGACTGGTGGTCGGCTGCCGTGGCTGCTTCTACGGGCTCCGGCTCCATAAAGGTCAAGCTGGACCTTTACACCTCCTGATCTAGACGGGGACTTCCACTAAGGGTATGTAGACCGGCAAATGGCATTGAGTGTGTTCATGAATCTCCTAACTAAAGCTTAACATGAAGACATCACCTTCATTTCCCATCAGAACTAATCGCTTCTTCGGATTTGCTGGTTCTGAGCAACATTCCATACTACACCATTCTCTGTCTCATCCACCTTAGTTACACCATACATTTAGTGTTTAAGTTAGTCTAGTTTAATTTGTTAGTAATACATTTTTTAACTTTTAAACTTGACTCTCTCTCTTCTGTTGTCTCTGAGTGAATACGAAGCTGTTATCTAATCCCTGCATTAAAAAGTTCCAATCTTCTGGTTTAAAATAACCTCACAGATCCATAAGGTTGATTTAATATTTCCTATGGAATCCTACACCATATGGCTTATTAAATAACATGTCATTTAATTCATTACAACTGGATGTGTTGTGAAGCGCCTTGAGGGGTTGTAGAATCCTAGAAGGTGCTATATAAATAAAGCCGTTTACCACTTTACTCTTTCACAAGGGTGTTTTTTTTTTTTTGTCCAGGAAACTTCCCAGACTGTCTAGTATTTATGTTTTCATCTCGTGGTCCAGAGCCCGATCACACTGAGAGCTGTGAGTGAGTTTTCACTGCTGGAATAAGCTCCCTTCCCCAAAAGCCCAGCAAGGAGTTACCTCATTATCTCGAAGGCCAATGTAGAAAACAAATCTGTTGAACGGGTGAATCATAACAGTTTCTACTTTTAGAGTTCACAAACATGGCACGCCTATTAACGTTTGTAACTGCTGATAGCTACTGGGAGATGAGGAACCAGAATCATCGAGGAGGTTTACCTCAAAACGTGCAGACGGTTTCTCATCAGGAGCTCCTGATAAAAAGTAAAAACACTGACATCGTCATCTTGGTCTTTCTGACATCAGATGAGAGGGATAACAATAGTCACTCAGGAAGAACTGCACACCCTTCACAGCTGGGGTTGGAGGTTTTCTTATCTGTTGTAGATGGATGATGAATTGCCTCTTTTCTTAGAAATGGAGCCAACAGTTAATCTGAGGACAGGTTGGATAAAACTGCTCTGTTCTCGTAAATATCAAAGCAGTTTATCTATGTTTGGTTAGAAACTTTTAAATGCTTCTGATTCACAACTAAGGTCAAAAGTTTCAATCAAAAGCAGAAACGGCAAAAGATTCAGCACCTAGAACGCTTATTTTTATATTTTTACCAGAGGTGTGACCAAGTCACTGCTTTGCGAGTCACAAGTAAGTCACAAGTTCCAGTTTCCAGTCAAGTCTCGAGTTAAGTCCAAGTCAAAGACAACCAAGTCTAAGTCGAGTCCAAAGTCAATGATCTGGAAGTCCAAGTCAAGTCCAAGTCCTTCACTTTGTATTTTCAAGTCATAATCAAGTCATCTGTCCAGCTTCAATTTAACGACAATGATAACAAATAAATTCCAGAAATAATCCTTCTTAAAGCTTCGTTTATTTGATCAAACAAGCAGAAACTGAACTTGATTATAAACAAAGCAGAACTAGATCTAACCCAGAACGAAGAATGATGTATGATTCGTGTCCATGTCTGCCACTTTTGGGCTAAAATCTCAAATATGCTCAAGTCATGATCAAGTCAACAGATGCAAGTCGATTCAAGCCGCAAGTTATTGGCGTTCAAGTCCGAGTCAAGTCGTCGTTGTCGTCTTCCTCCGCTTATCCGGGTCCGGGTCGCGGGGGCAGCATCCCAACTAGGGAGCTCCAGACCGTCCTCTCCCCGGCCACCTCCACCAGCTCCTCTGGCAGGACCCCAAGGCGTTCCCAGACTAGATTGGAGATGTAACTTCTCCAACGTGTCCTGGGTCGACCCGGGGGCCTCCTGCCGGCAGGACATGCCTGAAACACCTCCCCAGGGAGGAGTCCAGGAGGCATCCTGACCAGATGCCCAAACCACTTCAACTGGCTCCTTTCGATCCAGAGGAGCAGCGGTTCTACTCCGAGTCCCTCCCGAATGTCCGAGCTCCTCACCCTATCTCTAAGGCTGAGCCCGGCCACCCTACGGAGGAAACTCATTTCGGCCGCTTGTATCCGCGATCTCGTTCTTTCGAGTCAAGTCGTAAGTCTTTATAGATGTTATCAAGTCAGAAGCCATTCAAATAGTGACTCAAGTCTGACTTAGTCTGACTCGAGTCCAAGTCATGTGACATGAGTCCACACCTCTGATTTATATACTCGTGTTTCTGCGATTAATGGGTCAGAGGTCCTTTATCTCGGCCCTCCTTGTTTTTATGAGACGTTTCCCTTTTTAAAGCTGATTTTACGTCAAGACCTTGAAGAAAACATTTAAACAAGTTTGATAAGGTAAGCAGGTCATCGAAGCATCAGAGCTCCTAGTCACTGCCCAGTTTTTATCTGATAGAAGTTTTAGTCTGAGGAAAGTTAAATCATTCACACCATCTGTACAGGTGTTCACTTCCCGCGTTTAATTACCTCGTAATAAGGTGACAAATACAAGCTGCACCTCAGCCCCTAACAAATGAAATTTTAAAGTTTAACAGTTGACTGTTTCTAAAGAAATAAAAGCTGTCGTTATTCCTTCCACTCACCTTGATCCATATGCTGGTGCTGGGTGGGTAAACTCCTCACAAACCTCATCGAGTCATCCTGAAACCGAACCCATCTCTGCCTCTCGCTGTCTGACGATCCTCTCCAGTCAACTTGTCACAAGAGCAAAAAGGATGATTCTGTTTCCTCTTCTTGTCTATTTGCTCCGCCGGGTTTTACGCACATGCGGTTCAGAGGAAGACCTAACCAGCGAAGAAGCACCAACGTGTAAACAGACAGATTTTGTAATAAAACTAATCAGAGAAACGGAAAGTTAAAGAAGATCTACGTGCGCGCGCTCTCTACCGGTGACCCCCACCGCACCCCGGTGAGAAATAACCGGAAAGGAGGGCTAAAGAGGCGAAATATACCCGGTTCATCCGCTCAGCATACAACCGGGCTGTCTTTACATGCCTTATTAATACCACAGGTGGATAACAGATGAGGAAGTGAGAATGAAGCTGAATTAAAACGAGACAAAAGCGCAGTGGCGGCGGAGGAAACGCGCAAACCGCGTCTGAACGCACTGGAAGTCCCAGTCCAACTGTCGGGAAGTTCTGGGGAAAAAAACTTTAGAGCGGGGCGGTTCGCTGCTGCTGAGACTGTCCGGCACAAAAAGAGTCACACACGAGTAGCTGGACGGGACCAACCCATCCAGGTCCTCCGATCCGAGCGAAGGGAAGCGGCTCAATGCCCGCATTGTCTGCGTGAAAAAACTCAGTCCAGCCTGTGTGTGTGTGTGTGTGTGTGTGTGTGTGTGTGTGTGTGTGTGTGTGTGTGTGTGTGTGTGTGTGTGTGTGTGTGTGTGTGTGTGAGAGAGAGAGGGAGAGAATCTAGGTGTTTTATAACTATTTACATGGACGTAGTTTTCAGGTCCCTCTTAATTGTTTGATTTGTTTGCAGGTAAGCTTTGCAAGTTTCCTGCCTTAGTTTTAATTCTGCTGTGAAAGAAATAAAAGTCACGCATCTCAGATATGCCCAAAGGGACCCGCGTGAAAAAGTCCTTTGTTTTGTTACAGAGGATATATTGGTTTAACAGGTAAAACGACGGCAAGGCATTTTAACATTTAATCAAATCCTTTGCTCAAAACAGTTGTTTCAGTTATTGTTTACATAAAAATGTAGACTGTTAAAACTTTTTATTTGCCTGTCTTTCAACAGATTTATATATGTTTTTAAAAATGGTAAGTACAAGTGGCACACACTTTTAAAGGCACACTTGGCAGTTTTGGTTCGCTTTTGCGCCCCCTATTGTTCGTTTAGTTGAATCAAAAGTTAAACTTACTCTTCGTCTGTTTAACATGTTTATCTAACAGCTGAAATGTCTCATCAGCCTTCATTCATTTCTACAGGTGTGATTCATGACTAAATAAAAACATCTGCTCTGTTCATGGCCTAAAACATGCAGGAAATGAGCTGGAAATAGACTGAAGTGCTGGCATGAAGTCCAACAGGTGGCAGCTCTCCACTCTGGATTTACAAGTGCTGTATTCTGAGTGACTTTTCATTATCTCTGTAAAGGGTTGTTTTAGCACATACTGGCTCAAGAAAATGAATGAAAAATGCGGATTTTTTCAATAATATGGCTTTAAATAGTTATTTAATAGTTGAATTGTTTATTAGCATTTTTTTATTTGCTTTGATGTTAATGACCGAAAGAAGATGAAAGTATGATTTGAGTGTTTCTGCTAAACAAGCTAGCTGAAAACACTTTTTTCATGCTTCTTAACGTTATAAATAAATTGTGAAGATAAAAAAAATGAAAAACAAAGAAGTTCTCTGGTCTTTGTCCAAAAACCTCAGCCAATAGCACGGCTGTCCAAAACCAACAATTGGATCCTCTGGTTGTCTGTCTCACTGAACCGCCACACTTCTGCATTAAACCCGGGTCCTCCGCTCGTGCACAGGTGTGAGTGGTTCACTTTTCCAGGGCATCACTGAGTTCCTAAAGCAACATTGGGAGTTTAGTCCACCAAAGACAGACCTGAACAGCCTGCCATAAAAACACCTTCGTCCTCCATGCCATCAGCATTCTGAACAGCTACTGACACCTTTTATCACATATTGCTGCTGTTTTTTATTCCCTCGTTTGCCTCCATTTTTTCAGTCTGCAGAATTTGTCTGCATTCTTTATGTGTCTGCCATGTTTTTTTATTTGTCTTTATAAACGCTTCTAAAACCATCAACTGCTGCACCCACACTTGGTAAATAAATCTGATTCTGATGAGGATGAAAAATCTCAAAAGAGGTGAAACAATCAGTGTATTTTAAATCTAAAAGAGCCCGACTGTGGACTTGTCTAAATGTTTTTTAAGTACTTTTGCTTTCTTCATGTTGTCAAACAGGTTCTGTTGAAGATGTATGGATGTGACAGTGTAAGCGTCCTGTCACAATGTCCCGATTGATGATGTGCCCTGGCTACTTGGCCAAGGGGATGTCCCTTTGGCTGACTGCTTAGAGCGTATGACTCTCACCCGGGAGTCTGGGGATCGAATCCCGCCCGGGCCCTCGTTTATCCACCTTGCCACATGTATTCTACAGGTCTGATGAGCCCGGGTGTGGTGAGAACTGAACTTAACATTGCAAAGTAAACAGTTATTCACAGGTGATTCATGCTTAAACCGTGACAGGGACATGTTGGTTTGGGCACTTCTTTCCTTTGAGCAGTTCAGTATTTAATGTTATCTTTTTCTATTTTTGCTGATCTGACACAATCTGTAACAAAAAGGACAAAACTGAAGAAATGTTTAAGGCTGCAAATACTTTTCATAGCTCTGCACATCAGTTGTGAAGAGGGTCATCAGTGCATCATTTTAAACGTGTGTGGCAAGTGGTAGCCATAACATAAATGAATTAAGGATAAAAAGTTGCAACAACACCACCCTGGGTTATCAGTCTAATGTGAGCCACCTGGCTCTGTACTGGGATGGGAACAGACAAGATCCCATGTGGAGAGGGGCTTGGAGCGCGTCGCAGAACCAGAGCGCATGCGGGAAGATTCCTCCGACTGAAGCGAGACTTGTCACTTAGAAAATGTTCTAAGTTGTAGTGTGTTACTGATGGTGACCTTTGTTACTGTGGTCCCAGCTCTCTGCAGGTCATTCACCAGGTCCCCCCGTGTGGTTCTGGGATTCTCGCTCACCGTTCTCATGATCATTTTGACCCCACGGGATGAGATCTTGCGTGGAGCCCCAGATCGAGGGAGATTATCAGTGGTCTTGTATGTCTTCCATTTTCTGATAATTGCTCCCACAGTTGATTTTTTCCACACCAAGCTGCTTGCCTATTGTAGATTCACTCTTCCCAGTCTGGTGCAGGTCTACAATTCTTTTCCTGGTGTCCTTCGAAAGCTCTTTGGTCTTGGCCATAGTGGAGTTTGGAGTCTGACTGTTTGAGGCTGTGGACAGGTGTCTTTTATACAGACAATGAGTTCAAACAGGTAGAGCTGAGGAAAATAATCAAATAATCGATGCATCGGGATGCGGACATAAACGATTCTGCATCGTAGAAGAGTACGCCATAATCGATTATGGTGGAATGTAGTTTTGTTTTTAATGGCGGCACCAGCGCAGATCCAAATCTGTCAGAGTGAGCGTCCTCCACATTTACCAAGTGGTTCCGCCTTAATGTGGTACTGCAGGGCTGAGCGCTTGAGTTGTAACCTGAGACCGAACCGGAACCGAATCAGCCCGACCGGTTCTGTTGGATTTGGGCCGTGAATTATGTTAATTGAGCGGGTGGTCACGCGGCACGCTCCGCTCGCTCGATCAGCGACTGAGAGAGAGAGAGAGACTGCTCACACGAGAGGATCGGAGGACGCGCATCCAAACCGATGCTCCAAACATGCATTATTATTTTCATAATTTAATTATTTTTTCTCCTGGAAGCGCTCAGTCAGACCAAGTGTTGTAATGCTGGGAGATCTGGTCTCGGGGGAGGGGGCGGGGTCAATGACGGCGGCTGCAGTGTGATGTCTGTATCTTTTATTTAGGGACACGGAGAAGTTAAAAGGAGAGAGAAATAGAAGATAGAAGTTCTTGTTCCACTTTATTCTTTTGTTTCATGATGATAAACTGATGTTAAATTCAGCTTAAAGAGAAACTGGGAGGAAGCTTTGGTTCATTTTAAGTTACAGGAGACTTGTCTCCTACAGTGGGGCAAAAAAGTATTTAGTCAGCCACCGATTGTGCAAGTTCTCCCACTTAAAATGATGACAGAGGTCAGTAATTTCCATCATAGGTACATTTCTACTGTGAGAGACAGAATGTGAAAAAAAAAATCCATGAATTCACAAGGCAGGATTTTTAAATAATTTATTTGTAAATCAGGGTGGAAAATAAGTATTTGTTCACTCCAAACAAGGAAAATCTATGGCTCTCACAGACCTTTTGTCCTCCACTCGTTACCTGTATTAATGGCACCTGTTTGAACTCTTGTGGGCCATTCCCATCTGTACCGGGTCGGCCCGGGCCGGGTAGCCCCAGTCGGCCCCAGCCTGGCCCGGTTGATTCCACACATCCTTGTCTTAAGCCCATGTGGGCTGATTCTACCCACCAATCAGAGGCTTGCTCTACTGGAAGGTGTGAATGGGCTGATTCTACCCACCAATCAGAGGCTTGCTCTAATGGAAGGTGTGAATTTGCTGTCAGCAGTGGGCGTGTTGGCCCTGGTCGGCCTGAAGCAGTACCCCTCGGGAAGAGGGCCGAGAATGAGCCTTGGTTGGCCCGGGAAAATTGCAGGCCACCCAGATATGTAAACAACCTACGCTACCCGGCCCGGGCCGACCCGGTACAGGTGGGAATGGGGCTATTATCTGTATAAAATACACTTGTCCATAGCCTCAAACAGTCAGACTCCAAACTCCACTATGGCCAAGACCAAAGAGCTTTCGAAGGACAACAGGAAAAGAATTGTAGACCTGCACCAGACTGGGAAGATTGAATCTACAATAGGCAAGCAGCTTGGTGTGGAAAAAATCAACTGTGGGAACAATTATCAGAAAATGGAAGACATACAAGACCACTGATAATCTCCCTCGATCTGGGGCTCCACGCAAGATCTCAACCCGTGGGGTCAAAATGATCATGAGAACGGTGATCAAGAATCCCAGAACCACACGGGGGGACCTGGTGAATGACCTGCAGAGAGCTGGGACCACAGTAACAAAGGTCACCATCAGTAACACACTACAACGGCAGGGAATCAAATCCTGCAGTGCCAGACGTGTTCCGCTGCTGAAGCCAGTGCATGTCCAGGCCCGTCTGAAGTTTGCCAGAGAGCACATGGATGATACAGCAGAGGATTGGGAGAATGTCATGTGGTCAGATGAAACCAAAGTAGAACTTTTTGGTATAAACTCAACTCGTCGTGTTTGGAGGAAGAAGAATACTGAGTTGCATCCCAAGAACACCATACCTACTGTGAAGCATGGGGGTGGGAACATCATGCTCTGGGGCTGTTTTTCTGCTAAGGGGACAGGACGACTGATCCGTGTTAAGGACAGAATGAATGGGGCCATGTATCGTGAGATTCTGAGCCAAAACCTCCTTCCATCAGTGAGAGCTTTGAAGATGAAACGTGGCTGTGTCTTCCAACACGACAATGATCACAAACACACCGCCCGGGCAACAAAGGAGTGGCTCCGTAAGAAGCATTTGAAAGTCCTGGAGTGGCCTAGCCAGTCTCCAGACCTCAACCCCATAGAAAATCTGTGGAGGGAGTTGAAAGTCCGTGTTGCTCGGCGACAG